TTCGCCCCCAGCCTCCGCGTCTCAGCCCCTCCCCACTCCTTCCCCTTCCGGCTCCCGCCCCTCAGAGGTCCCCAATATTTTGGGTACGCTCTGGCAGGAATCTCGAGGCGGGCCCAGCCGTTGTGGCGAGAAACCTAAGGCACTGGACAAACTATTCTGCCCGCCATTGGGGATGCATGTCCAAGGGTTGCTGGAGAGCTTATGCCCCGACGTGCCACCACGTACGGGTATAAGCTTTCCAGCGACCCTTGGGCAGACATTCCCGATGGTGGAACAGCATACTCCCAGGCATCCCGCGCTGCGATGTGTTCGATGTGTGGGCCCCCAGAGGCCTGGACAACTTCCCTGGGGTTTGTTTTTCATCCTGAGTCATTTCTCGCGGTCCCGGGGCCCTTTTGAGGGCCCTGGGAGGCCGCAAAACAGCCCAAAGCTGGCCGCTCCAATGATTGTCGGAGCTTCGGATCTCTGCGCTTCATGCCCGTCTTCGCCCACCCATATTCCTTCCTCTCGGGGGCGCCGACTCGGAGAGACCTCCTCGGGGGGGAGCAATTGACCCCTAACCTTATGGTGTTCCAACCTACTTTAGCCTTTTGTTCACCAGAAAGAATTTCGAGCACCACGAACAGACCGAAGTTTGAGGGTTTTTAGGTGTCGGGCCCTGTGATGCGATACTCGTTCGACACTTTTTCGACACTTCTTTGGTGCTCGAAATTATTTAACCGCTTCGCTCATGCCGCCGGCCCTGGAGCCCTCTTTAGGGCCTCTTGTGGGCCTCTTGGGGACCTCTTGGGAGTCTCTTGGGGCTCCTTGGCGGCGTTTTGGAGGCCCCCAGGGCCTCTTGGGGGGCTCTTGGGGGTAGTCGATTGCGGCTCCCCCCTCGGAGGCCACGATCCTCGTGAGGGGTGTCGAAAAATACCCTCCCCTGGAGTGGTCTGGTGGCTTCTCCCGGGCTTCTCTCGTGACCTTGCCGGGGTACTTTTCGTCCGGGGGCCCCCAGGGGCCGCTCCGCGCGCGCGAACTAGAAATATTGTTAACAAGTTACCGGAGATCTTAGCACGCCTCTGGCCCGTTGGGCCGGCGAATTTCTGGGATGTGGTCCTTAAGCACGATGGGAGCAACATAGCCCTAACCGCTCTTTCCCATCTGGGCCTGTCCCCCCCCCGACCCGCTTGGGAACGTGCAGCTTCGCCACCGGGTCAGCGCTTCCCCTCCCCGTTTCCAGGCAGCGCTCGCCCCCTGAGCAAGTCCCCCAGTATTTCCTGTATACGCAAGGCCTGGACCTAAACAGTGTTTTGGCGATTTCGTGGGCCGTTTTCGTTTCGATTTCGTTTTGCGGTAAAGGCGGATTGAAGACAAAACGAGGGACAACGAAAACAAAACGAGAACGACAAACACCGTTTAGGTTCAGCCCTGGTATACGCTAAGCCCCGTGGGGCCGCAGGTGGGGTGGTGTCGTTTGCCCTCTGGTCCACCCACGCCCTTCCACGTCGCTCCTTCCCGTCCAGGAGAAGGTGCGGTCGGGAACTTGTGTGCATCGTGTCGCGCCGCCAGGTCTGGCCCACCGCGCTCGGGCGCGACGCGCCGGTCTCCAGGCGTGAGCGCCCCGAGATGTGTCCGAGCCTCCCGCCCCGCGGAGCGGAGCGACACGCCGTCCGCTTGCAGTGCACAGCGCCTCGCCAGGGCCTCGCGGCGAGCTAGGTCCAGCAGGTGGTCGAGTCGGCAGCTGGGCGCCTCCGAATCGAGTTGGGCACACGAGCAGGGGAAGGCAGGAGGAAAAACGGGAGGAGGGCCGCGAGGCGGCCAGAACACCCTCAGAACGTAAAAGAGCATCAGGCCCGCGCGCTCGACGCTGTCGGTGCGGGGGGCAGGCTGTGATCGCAGATCTGGGGTGAGGATGAGAAGTCGTGCGAAGGTCAGTGCAGAGTTCCAACCGCAGGAGGAGGAGGAGGAGGAGGAGGAGGAGGAGGAGGAGG